ACTTGAAATTCGCTGCACCAGGCATTTTGAGGCACGTCGAAAGTGGAGACCGTTCACGAGTGGAGCGAAGGCGATTTCTGGAGTGCGAGAATGTGATCACGATTCCGGTATCGATCGGTCGATAAAAAGATCCGACCATGGCCGTATCGCTTTTCTGGCGACTAGATTTTTCATTCATTTGGCTCCATCCTGGTTTTGCGATGCAATTTCGTATGCGATTCGTGTGCAGTTGCATCGTGTGCGATCACATCAATCTGCATACGGATTCTCGGTCTTTCCTCCACCTCGTCCATCCTTCCCCCGTCTACTCCTATCTTATCTCTTCGTTTATTTTTCATCTTTTCTTCTTTTTTTTTCTCCTTCCTTTTTTTCTTTTTCTTTCCGCGTTCAATCTTTTCCGCCGGTTGGATACGTTTCTCCTTTATTTCCCTTTCTCTCCTCGTCTCTTTTGTTTGCACCTCGCACTTTCGGACACCCGCGAACTCCCACGAACCTCCGGTGGTTCCTATTAAATCCGTCGGTATTGTATTCAAATTGGTTCGAGCTTTCGCGTCCTACCTCTACGTCCGCTCGTCTTTACCTCGTCGCTCTCTCAACCGTTCATCTGGTCGCTTTGTCGCTCATTAAAGGATCCATTAACGGTAGTTAGTGTTGTATTTCATACAACTTTAACATAACGTAGAAAAATAACGTAGCGAGCGCAAAATGTCATAATTTCTCATATTTAATCTTAAATAGGTAAATGATTTAAAGATACGCAATTAAAATCTCGGTAGATAAAGTGTTCAGACATCACTAAAAATTTTTAATTTTATAGTTATATAGTTTTTAACGTCTTTATTATATCAGTTTCCTGGTAGAAATTTCATGCGTTTTTTGAGCAGTTACACCAACTTCTATCTAGTAACTGAGAAGAAAAACTACTGAGACTCCCAATTAGGATGTAACACTTTGTTTGCAATTACTATATACAAAAGTTGCGTAAAATCTGAATCCATTTACTGAATAAAAACACAACAAATAATGGATATTAAATTGATTAATAAGCAAGCCAACTGCTTGTGAGATGGACAGAATAAAACTCTATCAAGTTCTTGTCCATTTCCTACTCAGTATTGGTACAATTAATGGGAATACAGTAATATTAGATAGTAACTGGATAGGTGTCTAGGAAAACTGCATACATTTCTACCAGAGTTATATCATTATAAGATAGGAATGTAAAAATAATGAACTCTAAGACTTTGGCTATCTATGTTTATACTTTTTATTTTCTTTTTCCAATAGAAGGTTTTAAAGAAAACCGCTCTCTTGGAGTAACCATTCCACCTACTTATTTAAATGTTAATATATTCTAAATAACAAGAATTATAATTCGGAAAATACACCGAGAAAAATGGCCTGGTTGGATTAAATAGTAATTCTGATAGAAAATGGACGAATCAGAATTTTCTGATGTTGAGATAACTAGAATTCCGATTGATATAATTATTCTGGTAAAAAAATAAGAATTCTAGTAGATTTTGTCATAAATATTGTATCAACCGGAATTTCGGTTATCTTAACTAGAATTCTAATTTTAACCAGAAAATTCTGATTCATTTTCAACCAGAAATTTTTTTTAGTGTATATTTCTCTTTTTCAACTATTTGCAAAGCGAAACATATACTTGATAACCACCAGAATCGGTAATGGAAAATAATTTTGATAGTTATTCCGTGACAAACCGTGAGATTTTATCATAGCACTTTAAGTCTAATTATTGCCTAATTTTTTCGTGCGTGCGTCGGTACTTCGACTACGTTGGTCGACCCTGGATAAAAAAAAATGCGGTTCGCAAAGAGCCGCCGCACGTTTCATCCTAAGAGAGGAAGAGTGACCGTTAATTCGACAAATTCGGCCAATTGCGTAATTCCGAAAAGAGTCGTTGACCGTCTGGACGCCGCGCCGGGTGGTGCAAAAGACACGAGTAAAAAAAGTTGCGCGTCGCGAGGGCTGCGGGCGGTCAAATTCGCAAGAGGGAGGTAAGAGAGGAGAGGATGATGCGCCTCCACGCGCGTACGCACTCACACCACCTTCTTCGCGTCCAGAGCGCAATACCGGGAACCTTTTCCCCCAAGTTAGCAGTTGTGTCACGTCGCGGCGACTACAAAGCACCGCGATTCCTCCCTGCCTTCTCCTTCCCTCCCCCAACCGTCTTCAGGCCCAACCCGATGCAATACACAACACTTGCATACCATACTTATTTCGTACTTAAGCATCGCACGGAGCGCGTGTGCATCTCTGCACGCACACGAGCGTACATTTCGTCATATATACAGGGTGAGCTGATAATTAAGTCCTCCTTCGAGCTGACATTTGTTTCTTTCTTTCGCGATGCGTATTTTTCTACGGGTATTTATCGTCAGATCGACTGAATTCGAGATACGCGATATATAAATTGAACTTTCGAAATTTAATTGTATGACTTAAGTATCTTATTAATATCCCGAGTCTATAATCGGAGTCTGATTTCATTAATTTTGTTTTCGTTTTGTTTTGCTGCCACTTCCATTTTACTTTATAGTAATTTTTTCATATTTCAGATAATTGCATTTATAAGGCTCGTAATGATTGAATTTTGTCATTCTTTCAATTTTTTTGTGGCTGCGGTTGACAGGTAATAATTTTCCTTGATCACCCCTTACATAAATAGGTACAATGCAGGTTGTCTTCTTTCGTGAATGCGTGCGTGCCGCGCGAATACGCTTTCATGCCGATGAATGATGCATCGCGGACAACGCGCGCCTGCGTTAGCATCGGTGTAAATAATGGATTAATTAATAAAAGTGCACGAAGCCGCGCACGCCCGCACCGGACTTCCTTCTCCTTTTTTTTTTATAGTCTACGTAGTTATTATACCTTTTTTAGAAGATAATTTTCATATCATATACATGGGGCAGATGCAACCCGCACCTTCGAAGCGCCTATGCTGTTTTACTGCGTTTTCGTGTTAGTAAATAAAATGTAGCTCGCTTCATGCCTCATTAATTTTCCTTGAGATTACATTATTGTCACAAATCGACGTTTTATCGCAATAATTTTACTTATTAATAGTTACTCTTAATCCTCCAGAGCTGATAGTGAGTCGACCCATTTCATTCATTTATAAATCTCATTGTAAAAAATGTCAAACATTTCAATATTCTTTACATCTGCAGATTTGGATTATTCTTTATTAAAATTATTTGTTAAAGTATACTTAATGTCCATTCTTTTTCATACAATTATTTCGGCTCCTTGAAATTAATTAGTGCTTTTTAATCCTCGACTACAGCAACGCAACGGGTTATTTGGATTTAAAGCGAAAATTTGTAGACGATTGTAGACTCCATACGGTTAGTACTATTAAATTCTAAATTGTAGATAAAAAAAACTTTGAACCCTTCTCTATTAATCACCGTACGACGAAGATTTATTTGCATTCTTCAAATAGGATGCTTATAACTTAAGTGTAGTTTTCATAGCTATACTTAAGGATTAATTAACATAAATTAAATAAGTCTTACAGACTTAGCGTCAGTAGACGTGTTAAAGGTCCTCTACATAGAGGTCGTGGAGTCTTAAGTCGTAGGAAACCAACCAATCACAATCAAATATAAGGAGAATACTCGACTAGAATTGGTCAGTTTCCTACAACTTAAGACTCCACGACCGTCTACGACTTCTATGTAGAGGACCCTTTACAGATTTTGGCGTTAGCTCCGTAGAGTTGAGTCGATTTTGAGGATGGTCCACGGATGCCACGCATCGCGTCACGCCGAGTGCCATCCCGTTCGCTCGACCGTTTATTTTTAACAGGCATATTATCGTTAGTTTCGATCGAAATGAGAAGCCGACGACCTCCTACGCTTCCTTCTTCGTTTCTCAACGAGAAACAATACCGCGGTGCTTCTTCGTGCGAATGCGCGGACAAGGCGTGGTCGCGCGAGATGCACAACGGTGACGTAGCGTCTCGCGAATTGCTCTCGAGGACTGTCGATTCGTTAATTGCACCGGCTTCCAGAGACTACCAGGAATCTGAGGGATTCCTTAATTGCGCGCTCTCGTCTGGTAACCCGACGAGATTACGTCAGTGATGTGCGCCGCGCTCGATTCCTCGTCGCGACGTCTCGTCTCGTCTCGTCTCGTCTCGCTTCTAAAATCAATTCCGAGATAGTGGACTTGTACTGCCGATAATAATACCTGCATCCTTCGGATAATAAGGGAAAGCAATTTAATCAAATGGTCTTTTCTCAAATCCACTATTATAAATTAAATTAAATCGCAGGAATAGATAAACGTGTTGGCTGACAGAGGCTGACTTTTGACGGGCGAGAAGAAGCAATGAGAATCGATTTAGCATGATGGTATGGGAATCCGAATGGAACGTTGCACTGAAGAAAAATCGTAGATTGAAGTTTAGAATAAAGAAGGGCATTCCCCGACGCTCTGCCGTCCGTCGAACATGCAACACGCGATGATTTACGATCCTGTGTACGGAGCGCATTGCCGAGCATCGCGCGTTGCACTCCAATGAATAACATCTTCCGACGATCGCCATATTTTCTTTTTATTTCTCTCTCTTCCTCTTCCCCTTTCCCGTTACGACACCGCATTGTTCACGTTGGTAATTTTACGGTCCTTGCTTGGTTGATTTTTCATATCCTTCATTAGATGTAGTTCTTTTATTCTCTTTACTAAACTATCTCACGGAAATGTCGCGACAACGTAATTATGTTTCGTATCATTTTAAATTCTTCGAAATTCAATGCATAATATCTTAATTTCTTTGAGTTAATTTCAATTAATTTTAATTAATGATCTTTATCGGTATAAAATTGTGATCATAAATTATGAATTCTAATAACGTAGTGATCGCGATTTCAGCCATACATACCTATATAGTTGCGCTGACAAATCACGTTTTCTACGTAGTATAAATTCTAAACTTAGCGAACTGTTGTCTACGACTGTTGCAGGTGAACCGGCCGCTGACGATGAAGAAGGAAGGTATCCAAACGAGAAACAGGAAGCTCTCGTCGAAAAGCAAGAAGAAAAAGGCTGGCGGTTGCCTAGGTCTCGGTGGTGTCATGGGCGACATGATCAAGGCCAGCGGACACCTTGATCTCGACAACAAGCCCTTCCACTCAGGATTCGGATCGCCAATGGGTAAGTCGAATTCTTGGACTTACAAATATTTTTTCTATTTCAAATTTAATAATTAAAAAAATTTTGAAAAGTTTGTTTTATATACGTATATTATAACACCAGAGACAGAAAGATTATTTTCTACACTTAATTCGGGAATAATCATCTGAAGAATCTTACATCCCAACGGCGAATAAATATTATAAATTGTTATAAAATTATTTTTTGTATAAATATTGTTTAACGTATTCTTTTTTGTTTAATTATTCTTTATGAATCTTTAAATGCAACTCCATTGAAAAAACCTGCAATAAAAACGTTAATTAAAATCTTTATTTTTTTAGAAATACTGTCATATAATAAGCTATTAACGTACTTACTCCGTTAAATATTTGTTTGGTTTCTATACTTACTTTTTTACAAATACTAATAATTGCAAAACAATCAATAATATACAAAAAATGTATTATTAATAATAGGGATTTTAATTGGGGGTGTAAAAATAACTCAGGTGATCGTTTACGTAAAAAATATCAGATGACTATTCCCGCGCAAGGAAAAGACTTAAATTTAGATTTAACTTAGATTAGCGGCAACGCACTTAAGATTCGCAATTGTATGACATTTTTCGGTATAATCATCTTTGTAAACGACTCAATACGACCGAAAAGAATCCACCGTGTCCATCTCTTATGCGAAATTCATGGGCACAGGAAGAGTTTTAAAAGAGCGACGCTTCCCATTATCGTTCCAGGTACGTCGCAGCATCATCACACGATGCATCCGGCGATGCAGCATTACATGTATCACACGGGTGTCGGCGTGGCCGGAGGTCTTCATCAGGGATTTGCGCCACCGGCGCCGCCCCCCATCCACCCGCACTCACATTCGCATTCCCATTCTCATCACATGACGAGTCTTCAGGGTCTGCAGCTGGCGGCCACGACGAACGCAATGGTGAGTGCACGATTGTTACCTTCATCGGCGATTGACCAAAGGCTTCGACCGCCGATAATCGATCAGGATCTACCGCGTAGAGTTTGTCGATTTCTCTCGGGTCGTGAACCGAGTTTAACATGCTGCAACTATCTCGCGATAGCGGAACGATACGACCGCGTCATTTCCAAAATTTCAGTCTTACGTTACTAGGTAGAGAAAGGATCCCGCATTAATTATATGGAAAATTGAGAGTCCCATTGAAATGAATTAGTTTTCACATAGAATGTAACTCGTAATAATGTAGTGAATAAAAGTTGTCGTAGACACAAGGTTTAATAATGCATAATTTTTTAGTTATGATGTATCAAAAGTGCTCACATAGCACAATTTTTACACCTTTGACACTCGAAGTATCCATTACTGAGCCTTGCAGCTATGATATTTTATTCACTATATTATAAGCTATATATTGTATATAAAAATTAACTCATTTCACAGAGACCCAACTTTCCATATAATTAATACAGAGTCCTTTAAAACAATTGAATATATAAAATCGAAACATTATTTTCTCAATGAGACACGTTATTCCAAACATTTCGATGGTTACTGCCAGTGCAGCTTCCGTCTCTGTTTCCAAGCGGTAATATTAATCGCGGCGCGAGAGGAGAGCCTTCACTCACAGAGCGACCGGGGCAAGTAGAGCATCTCAAGAGTGTGGTAATCTTTGTCTGGTTTCAGACCGGCTGGCGATCGGAGTACACATGAATCGCGAGTGACTAGCAGCTCAGGACGCAGCCCACCACTGTCTCGTTGTAATGTAAAAAGAAAGGAAAAAACAGAAAAAAAAAGATAAACTAAACACAAAACCGCTCCTCTTCTCTTTCTCGCACGCGGGCCTCCTCAGCCAAGGGGCCACGATCGATCACTGACGACACGAAAATCCCGACACGCGGGATCCCGGGATTCACGTCCTTGTGCATGGCCGTGAGAGCGCCTGTCGGATCTCTCTTAAGTGAAAGCTCATGTAAATATGTAAAGTTTCATGTAGGGCCATCGAGCCCCGGCCCCAAGTACAAAGGAAAAATCAGCTACTGTATTGAGTCTTATATATGATATATAGCATGTAAATAAATATATAGATACAAGAATTTATATTATATGTGCGCGCGCGTACGAGCGTGTGTGAGCGAGTGCATGTGGAAAGAGCGGATGCGTGTGTGCGTGTGATGACCTGTTTTTAGGCGACTCCTCGGAGGATTCTGGGTGGACGATCAAATACCGGACCGTCGCGCGGGATCATATTACGCGTTACGCGGTGTCTATATAATTGTACACTCTAAAAATTATCGGTGGATTTAAAACCAGCGGTGTTTATAGGTGCCTGCCAAGAAGAGACACACATGACACGGTGTGACACGGTGCATCATTACATCCTTGTTGTTCGCCAATGTTAAACAAGGATGAGATGATCTCTGTGTTGTACTGAGTCGCTTGTTGGAAGGCACCCTATATAATTCACATTGTGTTAGTGTTACTATTAACACCAACATGATGTGAATTTAACATCATGAGTTTTAAATCCACATCATAGTGTTGATATGACCACCAAGGATTATAAAAATCTACTCTATGTCTTGTTAATATTAACATCCATACGGTAAGAATTATATAGACACCGCATGGTGTGTGTGTGTGTGTGAAATCCACATGTATATTTTTTAGAATAGTAAGCCTTAAGTCGTAAGAAATTGATCAATTACAATCGAATGTAAGAACAATCGAATGATCAATTTCTTACGGCTTAAAGGCTTACTACTCTATTGTACACCCTGCTTTAGGACTATAGTACACAGAAAATCTTAAGCGGTAAGACGTAAGCAGTAAGGAAATCAACATGTTGGATTTGCTATTGTTTAAGTTATGGCCTTGCGGTCTCTACTATGATTGGCCAATTTGTTTACTGCTTACATTTTATTTAATTAAGTTTCTTTGTGTGCCATGGCCTTTATTGTCCTCCCGCGCGACGGTCGACGGCGCAAAGATCCACTGGATCACGGTTCGCACCCAAAATCGATTCCGAGTGCGAAGAGTCGCGGTGTGTGCTGCAAATGCGCGGGGTTCCGGAACGCGTGCATGCTACGCACGGAAGTCGACGCGGTATCGTGCAATTTCAAGAGAAATGTTTATTAACGGGCGTTCGTAACTCGGTGCGGGATCGTTTGGACGTTCCTCAGAAGATCCTCGCCGTCGGTCGCGCCGACAAGTTTCGCGTGTTGCTTCGCGTGAGTTACCGAGACTCGTCGAAGCTCTCCGTGTCTCGTTCGGCCGCAATTAAACGAAACGGCAATTAACAGTCTCGCAAACGGTAATTTACGAAGCTCGCTATATTCTACACCGACTCTTTCGAAAGAGAGAACGTCGAAGCGTTCTCTCTTTTCAAAGAGCGACTACTTTTCACTATGTAGCAATCTAGATTGTTAAAAAAATTGATGTTTCTCCTTCCGGCGGCTTAACACGGTTTTTTTTTTTATTCAAGTAGACGCGAACAGCAATAATCGAGACACTTCGATCGCATGGTTCGTTTTTAGGGAACATTTTACGGTACAGCCAATCGTGCGCGGAATTCAATCCCTTTCCAAACAAGAATCGATTGAGCCTTACGATCGGTCACAAGAAAGGGGTGATCCCGATTGATCACGGCTCGATTGGACACCACCAATCACAGACCGGTGCTTAGGAGCTTTGTAGTCTCAAGCGCTGTGAGTGGCTCGTGTCCAATTGAGCCGTGTCCAATTGGGTGCCACCCCACAAGAAACATAATTTATTTCCCCAGGAATTGAAACGCCTTTTTACAATATGTCGTGGTGAAGCCTATGGGATTGAGGTTTGAGCCTCGATCGCGGATCAACACCGATAGTCTCCGAAATAGAGCTTTTCCTATTTTGTTTTTAAACTTTTGACTTGTACTTTGCCTCTATATATCTGTCCACTGTCGGCGTCCATTGGTCCAGCACCGTTCTGTGTGTCGTACCGGTTAGTGATAGTTCACATAAGTGTAATAAAAAGCGCATAGAGAATAAATTCGTAAATTATATACGAAGCCTCCGACGATCGCGATCGATCGGCCCGACCCGGCGCGTCGATGCGATCACCGGATCGCACGAGCGTTAGCTTCATAATTTAGTCACGGCGGACACGAAAAATCCACACTTACACACACACACACACACACACACACACACACACACACACACACACACACACACACACACACACACATCGGACAGCAACAGTCAGTGCAAGAAACACGAGAAACACGCGACTAAAGGCAAGTGTAAATTTTGTATCTTCGAAATTGTGTATCGTTATTGTAATAATATAGTATATATATATAAATATATATATACAAAATGAAGAAAATAAAATATATGTATTATAAATATATATTGGAACACGCGCGGGCGGGCGACCGTCGCGCGCATTAAGTGATTGTGCATAATTAGCAACTAATTGCGCATTATAAACAACCATGCATATAAATAGTCAACAGGATATAATTGAAGACTCATCGGCGAGTGAAACACGACGCACGAGATGTCGTACGGAGGTGAGACATCGGGTGATCATTAGCATTGTCATTATCGCTATCGGTCATCATCGATCGATTGTCCATTGATTGATCGCTACTCGTGAAAGACTCACTCGCTTGGGTTCCGAACACATTGTGATTTTTCGATTTTAGAGGTTTTACCACTCGCGTATGTTTTTTGCGACTAAATAGACGTACATAGGTAATACGAAGGTGAAAGGGCACGGGAGTAAGGGGAGCGTAAGGGGGGGGAGAGAGAGAGAGAGAGAGAGAAGGAGGGATATATATAATATACATAGATGGACGCGACGGTATGTTCGTGATTTCGGGAGGATATCGCGCGGTATCTTTTCCTCCCGCCGCGAGGACGAAGCGAGCAAAATATGGCCCTTCGGGATCCCACGGGGGGACGACGAGTGGCGGCGATTTTCCAAAAGACTGAAGGGACGAGAGCAAAAGTCGATATCGATAGTCATTATCGTGTGACATGTTCGCACGTTCGGAAGATCGGAGGAAAAAAAGGGGGCCGTGAAAGGAGGAGAGGAAGGAAGCATCTATTATAGTATTATTAGGAAGTAGCGTGTAGCCTGTGTAAAAACAAACAAAAAAATATATATGATTTTTAAGAGAGGTCGATCGCATCCGCACAAATGGGCGAGAGGGGTATATTATTAACGGTGGGTGAAGTTTAGAAACGCAACGAGATGAGAGAGAGAGAACTTTTGAGGGGAATGGGGTGAAAGAGACAAAAAGGGCGGAGCGATCCTTTCGCACTTGACGGACGTGCGGCGAGGATGTTTATTGGATGTAAAAAGTGACACATTGTAAGATATTATTGTAAAAAGAGGTTTTAACTTAAAATAAATTAAATGATAAATCACGCATACACACCGACCAATCTTTAATCGAATATTATGTGATTATAGATGTGTATATGTACAATGTATAGCATTACGATGCTCTCTCTCTAATTCTCTTTCTATTCCTCTCTTTCTTTCTCCGTCTCTCACCGTTTTCCTTCCTCTCATCGTCTCTCTCTCTCTCTCTCTCTCTCTCTCTCTCTCTCTCTCTCTCTCTCTCTATCTCTTCCTCTTTCTTCTTCTACCTCCTTCTTTCGCGCTTAAAAAACCGTCCGTATTCTTCTGTCCTGCTGCCTCGACTTAACACATCTGATTTATTCCCGCAGAATCGCATCCGGTTGTTTTTCTGCTGATCGTCGATATCGCCGATAATACCGTCGCGTTATCAGAGAACACCGACGTGAATTTTCCTCGACGACTCGAAATCAATGCGCGACGACTCGAGATCAACGCGCGACGACTGTTCTTTAATAAATCAGACGCACTGTATAACTACAGGTATTACGGAATTATTAATGATTTGATTCTCTCGTATACGTGTTTCTTTCTCTCTCTCATCGCGAGCATGACGATGTTGTATCGTTATCTCGGACGATGTCGCGCCCACGAAATAAATTTCTTTTCGCTCCGAGCTCGGGTGAGAAAGAGAGGAAGAGCGAGAGGAGACCCGGAGACTCTTAATCAATCACGCGTGCCGATAATAATATCGTTACGGAATTATTAATGATTCCATTTCGCCCGCATCGCGGCACCGTAATGTCATTATCGGGCGAATGTCGTGAGCAAAATTCTTTCGGCGTTTAGAAACAATGGCGGCGCGGTGCCGTGTGATAAATCGCGCGCGGCGACGATGTACGCGATCGCTGATCGAGTCGTATTGTTCAGCACGCTGTCGATCGACAATATGCACACATTGCAAAATTTTATTAACATCGTTAGCAAAACAAACATGCGAGAGGATTGTGTGTTTTTTTAACGACTAGTCATAATTAATCATAAGTGGCGTCAAAAGCCTGTCAATGTTTTATTTTATTTCAAAGACAATCCGTTTGCTAACGTATTTTACAAGCACGTTTTGCATGTTTAAATGTCTTTCGTAATTGCAGTAACAGAATAATAATCTTATCAGAAAATATCAGTCTCGAAGATAACATATTCATTATGTTATAGCATAATTATTATGTTAGCGTACACAAACATGATTCGATATCGAATCTTCTTTTTTTAAAAAGTAAAAGGATATTTTTCTGCCACTTGCAATAAATCATGCGACATATCGGGGTACAGAGGCAATAATGAGACGATTTAGATAGACGTCGATTTATCTTATTAATTAAAAGATCTTTATTGAATTTTACCGAGTGGACAGAAATTTACATGTAAATCGAGGCAGCA